TGAGAAAAAGAATTACACATTATAAAAGCTTTTCTGAGGCATAAATGGTACGATTGGCCATAAACAATCTTTATCTAGTAGAGTCATAATACCAATCATTACAATCTTATTTCTGTCATTATGATGATTAATCAACAACAAATGAGCAAGATTGCACACCTACCTACGTATTTGCTTATTTGTTGAGATTTATTTATTTGAACATTTGCTATCAAGTCTTTTGATATTAAAACAAATCATTTTATTGCCTTTGGAGTATGTAATGGTTTGATTTTTTTGCTACTTTATATTTGTATCCGTCTTGACCTTTGTTATTGCTCATGCGTATTGTATTTAAACCAATCGGAACATCCTCGGCTTTTATCTATAATAACCTCGGAGTTACGTGGTTTCAGATGTGAACAGAAACAGAGAGTGTAATCTCTAAGATAATGTAAAACGAATGTATTTATTTGACATCCGAAGGAAAAAATAAGTATGATTCTGCACAATTATGGTTGAAAATATGTCTGACAATCATTTTTATTTTTAATATGCCCGCTGATGTACAAATTTAAACAAATCTGACTTAATGTCAAACAGATTGGCATTTTGTACTTTCGGTTTCTACAACCATAATAATAAATATTGTATTGTTTGCTTTTATATCTTAATATATTGGAAAAAAAACTTGTCAACAACTCCCAGCATTAAATTACTATTTGTTTAGTTTCTGAGCGTAGGTTGGGCCAATATACCGTATCCGTTCACTGTATTCATACTATTGTGTTCGAGGTCCTTATCCGAAGATTGACAGAAAGGACCGAAGAGTAACGTATTTAAACATGTTTTCGTTTCGATATCTTATAATGAAGGGAAGGACAGTTGCTTATGTTGCTAGAACTTGTTGTTCAACCCTTTGCCCTTTGTTCAAATTGTTGTTTTGTGAGAAAATATTGTTTTTCAATTGTATTAAAGAAAAAACCTGATTTGTTTGTTTGGTTTCTTCTTGTTGGATGGATGGATGGATGTGAAGAGAGACATTTGGATTGAGGATACATTACAGTGAATTCTTTTTTTAATTAATATCATGCCAAAAAGCAATATTATATCATTTTTATTTTTCGTGTACATTAATATTATTATTATTATTATTATTATTAGTCCTCTACCGGTTTAACCGGAGGGGACTTTAGGTTTACCCTCCGTCCGTCTGTCCGTCCGTCTGTCTGTCCGTCTGTCTGTCTATCCGTCCGTCCGTCTGTTTGTCAGGCCGTCCGTCCACAAAACTGGATCCCGCAATAACGCAAAAAGTACTGAAAATATTTTTATGAAACTTGATATATGGATAGATGGCAGTATGGAGATTATGCACGTCTTTTTTTCTTCCTATGTTGAAAATTCTGGTTGCTATGGCAACAAATAGTCTGAAAATATGGCAAATTTAACACATAAACTGGATCCAGTGATAACTCATAAAGTACTGAAAATATTTTTATGAAACTTGAAATATGGGTAGATGGCATTTTGGAGATTATGCACATTTTTCTCTTTTCTTCCTATGTTGAAAATTCTGGTTGCTTTGGCAACAAATAGCCTGAATTTCAAGATTTCTGATTTAAATTTCAGCTTTTTCACTATAAGTTCTTTATTTCTTAAGGTGTTTACTTCAAACTTTAAATATAAGTTTCTGGTCATCAACCACATCATATGTGACAAGGTTTACAACTCTAGCACAAAAATGATCAGTATTACCTCCCTTGAACTTTTTTGTGAAAAATAATGTCTTTTTTAAATAACTTCATGTATCTACTTCAAACTTCATATATATGTTTCTTATTATCACTCAACATTTTTGAGAAGGTTAAATACTCTAGCAAGACTTTTTCCAGAATTATGTCCCCCTTGAACTTAGATTTTTTTCGAGAAATTGGTATTTTTCACTCCAACGTCTTCAATTCTTATAGGATTAACTTTAAAATCCCACATTGTAATAATATGACAAGGTTGTATAAACATAATTTCCTTACTAGGCAGGGAAACTTAACACATTACTGTGATATAGACAAACTTAGAACTCAAAAGATTTTAGTTCATTCATGTCATTCATTCACTGGTAAAATTGAATGGCCAATGGCCCATCAGAATGTTGCTGGGGTTCTAACCGGTAGGGGACTGACTTATGGATTGCTTGCAATACTATGATAATTGCTTGTTATAATTATTGTTGTTGTTGTTGTTGTTGTTGTTGTTGTTGTTGTTGTTGTTTTAAGTGAACGAAGAACCTGCTACAGGATTTGAAATCTTAAAACACGTGTATTTTCTTCGGCTTATTTATTAGGTTAGATATAAAAGAAATTACCAAAATTAGCTGTTTGTTTGGGGGTTTTTTTATTTTATTTTTTTCCTCCTTTTTGTTTGCAATTCTAACCGGAATTATTTTAGAAATATGACTTATACTGTCTTTAAAACGGTTTATCCAACAAATTGCCAAAATTAACAAATAATACTGGCAGTTTGATTAATAACAATGTCCGCGTAAATATCAGTTCGTAGAATATCCATAATAACACCTTTATGTTTGTTTAATTAATAATACCTTCTCAGCAAATTATACTGTTTTACATAAAGCATTGTTCTGCATGCTAATTTATCATTATATATAATAATAATTTAACCTTTTATCAGACTTTGCGGTAAGATGTCGTAAAATTAGGACGATCTGTCAATACTTTGTCAATGTAACGGTCAAGCGTTCACGCTAAAGAAAGACATAATACATCCTCTATTTACATAATGAAATAACATAACTAGTCAACGTCATTTCAGAAAGAAACACAATTTGTTATTGTGTTTTATGTTCAAGGACTGCCAAATTTAGCAGTGTTTTTGTCTAATTAAATTGATATGCTCAGATAAACAAATGTTCTTACTCCGTTTTAATACTGTAATATACATTTAGAAATGTGAAATTTTATTTGAAATAGGATAGCTTCACAACAATAGTTGACTACATTTTAATATAAACAATGTATGGCCCGTGCATTCCCCTTGTATAACACCGGGATTCACAGAAAACGTTTCAACATCACCAGAGTTCGTTAATAAATGTTGCTTTGTTCCGCATTTACGGCTACTCTAATCTAACTTTTAACAAGAAACTAAATTTTAGCATTTGAAGAATGAGTCATTTGTATAGTATATGTATTAAATAACCAGTTTAGATTCCTTGTCCATTCCTATCTGATCAAACCCCTTTAGGAGACAATATTTTTTGTGTAAATATACTAATCCTGGCTTATAACTTATGGTTGAGGCAGGGGCTGTTGCTTATGCTGATATAAATTGTAGCCCAAGCCATTTGCATTTTATATCTCTTTGTGAATATTTGGTGTTGTTTTTTGGTTGTTGTTGTTGTCAAATCTACGTACAGTTAAGCAAACGACAATGAATACTTTACAATGAAAAGAAATTACGACAAAAGAATATGAACTATTTTAAAGTCTAAATTTATATTTACCCTTCAATATGTATTGTATGTTTAAGGTAAGAAGCTTAGATGTCAGAGTTATAAATGCAAGGTCAATGAACAAGTCGGAACTAATATTTGCAGCTAAGCAAGACATTTATTTGAGAGAATTTCACTAGTGATGCCGAGCAATATCGCATGTGAGGCTTCCTCTGACTTTTTGTATAAATATAATTTTTACATTTCAATAATATTAAATTGACAAAAGCATCATATGGAAGCAAGTAACAAAAGTAAAACATACATTTCATCTTATTCTGTACGGCAATATAGCTAACAAACAAGATAGTGACATAATTAACCAGGGGGTTATACGGTCAAGTAAGCGTTGGTATAACATTTATTTATCGCCTGTATTTAATGACATTTAGTAATTATAATTTGTTAAGATCTTGTAACTTGTCTTTCACTTGTCAAACCATGTATCTACACTTTTTATTACATTTTGTTTGAGAATTAAAGCATTGTTTTATTGGATCTTTAGATAGGAAAATGAAATGACATAACAGTTGTATACATTTCATAAAGTAAAAAATAAGGCGGACTCTTTTGATTGGTTGAAATCATAGAGAAAAAATATTGCTAAGGTCAATCGACTCTTTCTAAAGGTTGCAACCGGAGAAGATATTTGGGGCGACTTTTTACATAATTTGATAAATTGAAGCTTATAAAACGGATGCAAAATAGCACTTCAATTCTGACAAGATATCCAGAAAATGAAAGTATTTTCTCAATTTTCAGATATCCAGAAAATGAAAGTATTTTCTCAATTTTCAGGATTGTTACTTTTTGTAGTATTTTTTGTCCTGGTGGTTCTTTTTTTTGTAAGTGAATGTCTGCTACTTACCGTCGTCCCTTTAGTTGAACTATATCTCTTTCTATATTGACTTTATATAAAAGATTGGGCGCAGCTTGTAACTGTCTGGTGTTTGGTAGGGAGAAAGGAAGAAATGGGTGTTATCTAAAAATTGTTCTTTATTACCGATGTTTATTTGTATATTTTTAACATATTATATTAAGTCGACTAAATTTGCGCATGTTTTTAATAAATATTTAACCAGGATAAGTATAGATTTCTGCGCTTCTTTGATATCTTATACATTAGATATTTATCTGTACCTTAAATTTTCATAAAGATTGTGACATTATTCAAACATAAATGAATTTAATTTTTCACCATTACTGGTTAAGAAAGAAGAGAGAAAGTGTAACATACATTAGTAGTTTTATACCACATCAAATGGTTAAATACCTTGGTGATTATAACTTGTAATTCATCAAACAACAACCTGTAGGTATGACAGATGAAAAGAGCATCCCTCGGGCAGTGAAGGAAGTAAAAGGAAATAATACAGTCGCCATACTTTTTCCGAAGATGCTCACGAGACTGTCGAATCCATTCGGTACTTTCCGTAAACAGACCGTAATTGGAAAATTAACGCACGAAAATTGACGGAGTGTGGCGATTTATGCGAGTTACCGTGCCCATAACGCAATAATTCGTCGACGATTGTCAAATGACGTATCAAAAAGACACATTCATTACTCTAGCTAACGGGTTTTCTTGTGCTTTAATATTACATTAACAGGTCATTGTTTGTTCTGTGTGAATCAAAATAGTCTTCTGTAAATAAAGTTGTTGTTGATACAAGTGTGATATTCAGATTTCAGACATATTTAAAGGAATTTCGAACATTTAGATACATTGGAATTATTTGATTTTTATGGTATAAAGTGCACGATATTCAGTGATTGGAATAAGTTATTAAGCGTCGTTGTACTGTGTAGGTAAGTGTTTCACCATTTACAATATTCAAAATCGTTTTGTTGCTTCTTTATTTATAAATAAAGTGAAAAAAATATTGTATCTTTCAGATTTGCTTATGGGTGATTAATTAAACCGATTTCATGATGAAATAAAAATTACCCTGAAAAAAAAGATATTTATTCACTTTAAATATAAGAAATGATATACACCTGATTCAAGCCGAAAGTCAGTTATATAAATTCTTAAAATAAAATAACTTTCATTTAAAATAGAATTTTTTATAACACACATGTACGAGTATTTAGAAAGAACGTGTTTATCTTATATGGAATTCTAAGAAAAAAAACTTTTAATCGGCTTTGCGTGCCTTTTTTTGGTAAATAAATGAAACAATTTACAAGTATAGAAAAGCTTAAACCTTTGATATTTGTTGAATTCGTTTTAAGTATAAATCTTACTGACAAAATCTGTCTCTTGAAATTCTAACAAACAATTTATCATTTCATACTTTAAAGGAAACAAAGTGACAGGTATATAAAACAAAACTGTATATATTTTTTTAATTATCATCTTTAGTATTGTAGTTTGCAAGTGCAGATAAATACAATTCTACCGCTTGTTTTACATGCATATCTGGTGAAACATAATTCCAGTTGAATCTTTCATTTACAAAATGTCGTAGTTAAATATTTATTTCTTGGCGGCCGTAAATATACCTTTAGTTTAATTTTCAGGCGTGTTTTAAGAAAATATTATTTTAAACACATAGACACGTATAATAAATGTAGTATAATTTAACTGGTGTTTTGTTCGATTTATCTTTAACACTGGAAAATAATCAGTGAGGAAATGATTAGAAAGTCAGTATTGTAAATTATCATCAATTTTTCCTCTATTTTATCATAAAGTTCGTACAGTTGTAATTTGGAATTACAGTGAACTTTAAACTGTTTCAAGAGTGATAAACATAACATTTTTTACATTTAGTTGAAATTGATGTGACGTGAAGTTTGATGGTTGACTCTTTAGGGTAATTTATGTTATATCAATATGGTACTTGAATTAGAATATTATAGCTTAATAGTTAAAAAGGGGAATATTTTACTTTTCTGCCTTTTAACCGAGGTATCCTGGTTTCAAACACTATTGGAATAAAAGCCAGGAGTTATTGTATGACATTACACATGTGATAATAGGCGCCCGTGACCTAGTGGTGAAAGTCGTTGACTTCAAACCACTTGCCCCTTACCGCTGTGAAGTTTGAATACTTTCATGAATTTTTGTTGTTTTTTTTTTCATGTAAGGATATTTATCCAGCTAGCTTACGGAACGTCGAAAGTTATGCTCACGTGTCCGTCCGTGCCTGAAATAATACACGGAACAGGCGCTCGACCAGTAAGCTGGTTAAAATAAACTTCAAGTTTTAATATCAAGAGAGCTATAATAGAATAATCATGTTTATGATACAATTAACGTTAGTGACACACTTCTAATAAAGTATTTTTTTAAAAATCACACTATTAGAATGACGTAAATGAAAATGTACACGAAACATTTGTTGCAGAATATACCAGTTGTAATATTCTAAATGTCTCTTGAAACCTGTTTGAAGTACATGTGAACCATCAACAAGATATAGAGGATATTCAAGTTTTTTCTATAAATACATGATTTATTTTCATCGAGTGGTATGAAAATAAATATTTCATGAGTGGTGGTAGCCACGAGTGAAATATGATAATTTTCATGCCACAAGATGAAAATAAATCATGTATTCATAGAAAAAACTTGAATTTTCTGTTTATTATATACATTTTTCTCTTTTTTTGCGATCAAATTTGAAAGACTTTCCATTAAATTTTGTGTACGGGCAGAATTTAAAAGAAAGTAGTCCGGCGAGACACCAGTGAAAATACGGAAAATATGTTTCACTGCAGTGAAAAATAAATTTTTACAGTGAAAATACGGAAAATGAAAATATGCATTTTATTTCATCAATATTTCTCAATATTTCATTTATAAGTATATAATAAACCTATACTATAACATTGTATATTAACTAAGTTTTGAATCCATATCAAAGTCATTTACAAATAGTGAAACTCGCATAGTTTAAAACTCGCGTAATTAATTTTTTTTAAAGCAAGTGTACCAAGTTTATACAATGAAAATATAACGCTGTACAATGGATTCGTTTTCCGAGAGGGTTGTAACCATGCCATTAATTCAATTGATTCGTTTAAGTAGGACATTTTAACTAAATAGACACGAATTTAAAGTTAAAAAAGGTTTGAATAAAGAATATGATTATTTGAAGGTGTTAGAATTATTATTACTAGTATAATATTCATTCAGGTATTATACATTTAAGAATTTCGAAATATTTTATTTTTTATATCTTATATGATTCACGAAATCATATTTTCAACCAATGAGATGTTTTTTATAAATGTGTGTTGTTAACAATACATTACTACCAATTAAAAGAATGTAAACATAGGTTAACTTGATGGATTAAAACTAAAAGGTGTGTTGTCGATAGTGACGTATATATTACTTCAAATATATTATTTAAAAAAACATTCTTGTCTCATCTCGGAAAACCGATGTACTTTTATTGTATGATGTATATGTTAACCAAATCAAAGTTCTTTATATGTTCATAATTCAAAGAAAAGATTTTCACATTACACAACACCCGGAATCGCAAAATATTCCTAGGGAAATGGTTTAGGCTATCTCAGTGGTCATTTTTTCATCATGAATATTATAAATAAGGTTCAGTAGATAATTACCAGGAATAAACCTTAAATGGGAATTATCATTGAGGAAAAGGTGTAGAAAACCCCTTAAAAGTGCTTTTTATTCAGAAATATGCTCATCGGAATTATTTGGTAACTTAACGTGTGTTGTCCTTAAAATAACTCTGTTTTATTTTCTATTGTGAAGAGTCTTAAGAACATGACATTCGGCACACTTCCCCTATTATCCATACTCGACGGAAATGTTCGGAAACTAACGATTGAACTGTATGCCTGTTTGATTTTAATGTTATGAAACCGATTCATTTGGTCTTAAATAATTTTGATCGTGCATGTGTAGATTTTCGTATGATTGTGTACAAAGTGAAAATTTTTTAAGGATTTTGAAAGTTAATTAATAAATTATTACTTCCCATATGCGCCTCTGGAGTTTTTAATTTGACAGTGATTGACAGGCATACATTTGGGGCAATGTAAACTTATGTAAAAATAAATCACGGTGTATCTGTCAAAATATCAACTGAGACACCCAAAAAATGCTAACTAGACTTCCGTTAATTAACGCACTGGACTTTTTTCCATTTTAAATTTTCTGTTTGAAATAATAAACTGTAGCTTTTCTTCTGAAAACACACGTATTTCGAGTAATTATGTAAATTTGCACTATTCTTGTGTATTTCACTTATTGTTGTCATACAAAAAACGCTAACGACAATAGATAAAGAAATTAACTTTTCTGAGATTGTCCCTCTACTGATGTTCCTCTTAAGGAAAGAACTGTTTGAGAGTGTCCATCTTACTACTGAGTGTCTGTCTTAATACTGAGTGTCTGTCTTAATACTGAGTGTCTATCTTAAACCTGAGTGTCCCTCTTAATACTGTGTGTCTCTCTTAATACTGAGTGTCCCTCTTAATACTTAAAACATTAAAGTCTTAGCTAAAAATAAAATAGTTTAAATCCTTTTAGGTAAGCAAACCAGTTCAAAAACAAAATGAGGTTAAGATTTTACTGACAAAAATGATGTAAAATGGCAGTGACCAGTAACCTTTACTTTCTGTATACCCTTAAAAGCAGTTACCCCTTATATACAGCAGACAATAATACTTGTATTTTAACAAACAAACCTTTAAAATTGTTACTTTATGTTATTTTCAAAACACTGTGCGAAAATGTATAACATCTGACTTTATCATACAATTTTAGTTACATATAACAACAGAGGACCAGCTGTTTGAGGTGTATGTTAAATTATGCAGAAGTGAAATATATATATATATTTATGCATATTATAAAACGGTATGGTATAACGTTTCGTGACTTAACTTCACAAAAGGGAAATATTCCACCGATTAACGGTAATTTGATAATTTGAAGAAAAATAAAAGAATTGCAATAATGGCACTATTTCTACACCATAGATTTTTTTCTGGATGTTCTAATGATCATATGAAAATGTTTGTTTAGTGAAGTTGAATTACTTTTTCTAAAAAACAATCTTATAAGCGTTTATCGTCAATAAATAAAGATGATTGTTTCAATATCAGGGAAAAAGTAATATTTATTAAATTAACAATAGAGTTCATCTTTTCAGAATTTGATATATATCAACAAAAATAAATGTAGTTCATCTTTGTAGAGTTCGAAATATATCAACAAACATGGTTAATTTGCTCAGAATTCGAAATATATCAACAAACATAGGTAATATGTTTAGAATTCGAAATAAATCAACAAAATCAACAAACATGGTTCATTTGCTCAGAATTCGAAATATATCAACAAACATAGGTAATCTGTTCAGAATTCAAAATATATCAACAAACATAAATATAGTTCATCTTTGTAGAATTCGAAATGTATCAACAAACATGGTTTATCTGTTCAGAATTCAAAATATGTATAAAACATAGGTTCGAAACATAGGTCGAACATAGGTCGTTCATCTTAAAAGTTTATAGAATTCGAAATATATCAACAAATATAGATCATCTATTAAAGTAAACAACTATAATGTACAATCATTGCATATATACTTATCACCATGAAAGACATTCTATTAAAAATAAAAACATTGTTTTATGTTCTATTGGATCAAATATAGGACGAATTCCAAATAGTGCAACATTTTGGAATGATACTTCATAAGTGCAAATACGTACATTTTTAGATAAAAAGTGCCTTATTATCTTTAAATAAAAAAAATTCCAGATCACATGTACCCAAAATATAGACCAGCTTAAAGCTACGCACCAGTGAC